ACTGATGCCATAAACAAGAGTGTCAATTTGTGAAGTCAACAACAGGAGTCACTGTGCACTTACTCCTCATGTAGGATCTTTGTCCTTAGTGTGCTGTACATTGAGATTTAATGCTATAACTAGTACTCAAACAGTATTTTTCACTTTATGTTTCTGTGTGGGAGCAAACTGTTGAAATCTTTACTTAATGTATGCTAAACTGATCTTCTGTATATAAAGAGAAACGAAAATGAATCTTGATGTGAATGGAAGGGGAGAGGGAGTGGGAAAGGGGAGGGTTGCGGGTGGGAGGGACATTATGGGGGGGAAGCCATTGTAATCCATAAGCTGTACTTTGGAAATTTATATTCATTAAATAAAAGTTTAAAAAAAAAGAAAAATTCTATCAGGACCCCCCCCCCAACACACACACACTGCAACCAATCATCTTCCTACCCCTAGGAATATACAGTAGGCAATAGATATTTGGTTAGCAAATTTTAGCTGCCTGCTACACACAGTGAGTCTTACCACATAGTAACTAGAACTGAGTCTAAGTGCCGCCACAACAAAGAAATGAGCCATATAATCCTCAAAGCAGGAAATACACTGGAAAAAAAGGAAACCAAGAAAGAAACAAATGTTCTAAGGCAATGATACATTTTACAGAATCATGAAGTTCTGAAACTCCTGGAAAAGTCTGGAACATCCATAGAAGAGTGTCTCTATCTCTTCAATCAGCTTTAAGTACAACCATAGTTTTTGTCTAAACAGAAATATTTATAATAAGACAAAACAGAATGGAGAGTAGAATAGTGGTATAAAGGTGGTGAGGAACATTGACACATTGGTGGGCCATTCTGGTAGAGAAGTCCAGCTGGAATAGCACACAGAAATCCGAAGTCTGGGACGAAGTCATATGCTAGAAGTGGTCACTGAAGCCACAAGACCAGATAACATTTCCTAAAAGAGCATGTCATGAGAAAAATGTAATCCTGTTTGGCACAGTGCTTAAGGCACTGCTTAGGATGCTTGCAACCCATTATTAGAGTACCAAGGTTCAAGTCTCAGTTCCACTCCCAATTCCAGCTTCCTGCTTGCACACCTATGGTAGCAACAGGTGAAGGCTCAAGTGATAGGGTGGCCCCTACCACCCACACAGGAGTCTTGGATGGTGTTCCTGGTTCCTGGCTTAGGAATTGCTCAGCCTTGGCCATAGCTGGTGTTTGGGGACAGAACCAGCAAATGAAAGTGCTCGCTCTCTTTCTCTCCCTCTCAAGTTAGTTAAACAAACAAGTAAATAAATAAATGTTTTTAAAATGTAATTGCCCAAAACACTGAGGAAACTTCAGTATGTGATACATGGCCAGATAAGAGAAACATGTAAAGAGAGAAAGAATAATTGAACATAAAGGCTTTTTGAAATATTACCACATTATTTTAGGCAGTACTTTCTCTGAAGGGAGGAGAGAACTTCCACTTTGCTTATGGCCTTGTCTAAATAAGGGCAGAGTTTGTGAACTCAAGAGACTTCCATAGCCTTGGCAGCTCATGACAAGAGCCTCAAGTGATCACTGACATCATAAATAAGAGTGTAAACTGTTGTTTGTTTTACTATGAGAATATGAGAATTAATGGTAAAACTAGTCTTCAAACAGTACTTTATTCTTTGTGTGTCTGTGTGGGTGCAAACTGTTAAAATCTTTACTTAGTATAGAGTTGATCTTCTGTATATAGAGATAATTAAAAATGAAACTTAATGAAGAATGGGGTGAAAGAGGGAGTAGGAGATGGGATGGATTGTGGGTGAGAGGGTGTTATGGGGGGGGGAAGAACCGCTATAATCCAAAAGTTGTACTTTTGAAATTTATATTTATTAAATAAAAATTTTCTATAAAAAAGAAATATCACTACATTATTTTCAAAAGAAAAACAGGGCAGGCATTTGGTGCAATGAAAAAAGTCACTGTTTGAACCTCCCTCATCCCATTTCAGAGTGCCTGGTTCAAGTCCTAGCTCCTCTTCAATGGATCCAGCTTCCTACTAACTCATATCCTGGGATGTAACAGATGAGGGCTCAACTATTTCTGACCCTGTCACCCATTTGGGAGACCTGATTTGAGCTCCTGGCTCCTGGCTTCATGCTGACCCAGCATTAGCTCTTGTGGACATTTGAGAAATGAAACAGCAAATTGAGGATCTCTCTCTCTGTGTGTGTCTCTCTGGCTCTCAAACAAAGAGAAAATAAATTTTTAAAATTCTTAAAAAAGAGAGAAAGAAAAGCAGTTCACATAAACCTGAGTCTCAAGGAGATTAGTGAAGGAGGATGTCAAACTTAAACAAAGCTCCATTGAGTATTGTGATCTGCTAACCTGCCAGCCAGTTGCATCATGATTTCAACATCCCAAGCCCACTCTTATACAGTTTCAGTTAAGAGGGCTTTCACCAGGCTCAGGACTCAATATTGTTCAAAATTTCCAGATGCAACATTTTTCCAGTTTTCATAATTTTACTCCTTACAATCTCAAAGTACACATTTGACATTTAAATTTTTTATTTCATATAGAGAGAACAGATTTCATGTATTTCATATAAACAATTTTAAGCCCTTAATGATGCTTTCCACTAGGCTCCATATATTCTTTGAACTTGGATGTACATGACTGAAGACAGAAAGTATCTTGTTTGCCTAGTAGTCACAAGCTTTTGTGACTAAGAGAAACCTATAATTGCCAAGCTAAGAAATACCTGTAAATAAACGAGGTGGTTATTATAAAAATAAGCACCTGTAGATGGTATTTATTTCATTGAAAAAGTAATGATTTAGAGGAAGAACTCAAGCTATAATAAAATTAATTATTGTTCTACAAGCCGTCCTAAAGGAAGGTTTCTAATGAAGGGACTCCTTTGTCATCACCCAGCTATGCACAGGGCTGTCAGTTTCTCATCTGTAGCAGCTGCTCTTGGACTTGCATCATGTGATACCTGGATGGCTCCTAATGGTTTCTCACATCCAATACCCCACAGGACACTATTTTTTCTCAAGAAATTACTAGGTGGTCTACCAAGTAAATATCTGTCTTATTACTTTGAATAGAAAATTTATTTAACAAAGAGAGAGAGAACACTCCTATCTACTGGTTCACTCCCTAAATGCCCAAAGCAGCCAGTGCTGCGCTGAGGCCAAATATGAATTGAGAACTCAATCCAGGTCTCCCACATAAGTAACAGGAACCCAACCACTTGAGCTATCAACACTGCCTCCCAGGGTCTGTGTTAGCAGGAAGCTAAAGTCAGAGACTGGAACTAACCCAGGCACTTTAATGTGGGACGCGGCATCTTAACCATGGTATAACTGCAAGAGGAGATTTCAAAATCTCCACAGTCTTGTTCACAATTTCACCCTGGCCTGAAATGTCCTCATCATTCAGCTATCATGGCTCCACCCAACTGTGCATTTCCTGTCATGTCCTGCACAAACCACTAATGGCCCCTTGTCTCACTGTATGAACCATGAAGAAATCCATCTCCCCTGCTAAACTGTGAATTTCAAGAGAACAAGAACTAAATCATGTTTACTGGAGTCACTCATAACACATAGGGTTTAAATGAATTTTAGACTGAAATCAAATTTAGAGTATTCTATAGTTTATTCCTTTTCCTAATAAAAACAAGCATCGCCAATGGACAGATTAACAAGATTTGGTGGAAGGCATAAAACAAAGTCTAACCTCAACTGAGATACTTCACCCAAGTTTGGAGCCATTTGTGGATGTAGTCAATAGCAGTTTGTGGATGCTGGCAATAAAATATGGAGCAGGTTCAACATGTAACTACTTCAGACACAATAGGGGTTGATCAGGGTTAGAGAAGCTTTGACTCAGCCATGAAATGTTTTGTCTTTCACAAGGAACCTAAAATTTGACAACATAAATAACAACAGAGTAGCAAGGCCAGGTACTACGCTAAGGGACTTGCACGTTTGTTCATATAATCCTCCAAATTACACCGGGAGATGGTCACTATTCTTATTCTACCTACTGAGAGGAGAGGAAACTGAGGTACATGTTTTTAAAAACCTGTCCAGTGTTATATGTCTCATGAGTAGCAGAACTAGGTTCCGTCTTCTGAGAGCCAGTAGGTATCATGGGTGTAGTGTTGCTGGAACAAGGCTATTTATCTTTGTCTAATTTTAATAGCTTTGTGCTCTTGATAGGATTTTGTCATCTTTCTGCCTGTGTTCTCATTATTAATGCTTTGTGGCAGTTTTAATTGGAGTAGAGTGAATTCTTTGCTGAACCAATGTGGCTGCTTCAGCTTCCCTTGTCCAGTCTTTCAGGATCATTCCTGAGAACAGAAAAGGACTTTCCTGTGGGACAGCCATTCCACCCTAATAGCCCAGCCGTGGTGAGTTTCTAGAGATTGCTTTTGGGTTGAAAAATCCCAGAGTCCTCTGAGCAAGGGCTTGATGTTTGTTGCATTACAATTCCCCTAATGCTGTGTTACACTGCTGGTGTATTGCATTTTAGAGAGCAGTATTATATTCTTAAACTTGTACCTAGGAATTATTTTGAACCTGTTTCTTTGTATGAATATCACATTAACATGAGAATTGTATTGTAGTAATTATCATGCATTTACTGTTACTGTAAAAATCTAATATGTTAAAAAATTCCTTTCATAAAACCAAAAGACAGAAAGGTTGACCATCTGAACTCTGATTCTGTACCTCAAGCAGGGCCCCATACTCTTGGCTTCTTCACAATCTTAGTGGATGCTCTGCTTTTTCTGACAGCTTTGAACTTTA